AAATTTGGAACGTGTAACCGGTAACTTACCGTAACTTATGTAACTTACGTAACTTACACAGACATCCCGAATCTTACGGTAATTTTACAACCCTGCCGCGGACCATATGCCAATCAAATTAATCAAATTCTAATACCTAGTTCCATTTGGCCACGGCCAAATGCCAACGCTGCATTACTTTCAAATCAAGCGATAAAAAATTTGTACAGTGTTTTATAAAAGTTTTGGACATTTAAATAAAATTAACATCAAAGATCATCTTTTTCTTAACTTTTTGTCGCCGAATAAATTTGTTTTTTCTAACGATGGGCGGCCAAAATATAACTAAGTCACGTAATTCACACGATGAAGTTGTAAAACACTTTTGGGATAAAGGAATTATAAGTGCAAGTGTAATTCAAAAAAAAAAAAAAAAAAAAAACATTCCAAGGTCTACAATTTATTATAATGTCCATAAAAAACGCAAAGGACGCCCTAACACGAACTTTAGTAAAGTAACAATTGTACGACATTTAGAAATACTTTTATAACACCCAAGCAAAAACGACGAAGCATCTTAATGATAATTGGGAAAGAACTTTATTTTCAGATGAGACGGCATTTCAATTATTTAGAAACACTACGTCCAATCCGTTGTATGCCAAAAGATCGGTCAAAAATCTTTGCTTGGGGAGGTTTCAAGGAAAAACCAGCCTTTTTTGCTTTAGAGGAATTATGAATTGTCAATTTTACGTTGATATTTTAAAAAAAACATTTACCTGAAATTGCAATTATGTTAAATAATGATTGGAGATTTCAACAGGATAAATGATCCGAAGCACACAAGCTTTTTTTTTGAATAAAAGTTTCCCTGAAGTAATCGACTGGCCATCCAATAATCCGGATATCAATCCTATAGAATACTTGTGGAGTATTTGTTAAGGGAAACGCAACCAAAAATTTAGCAGAATTAGAACAATAACAATATTCTGTGCTAATTTACATGTGATTTGGATTGCGTAATAAGTAAGTAACACGAATATTACAATGTCGGGTTAGGAAAATATTATGAGTTGAAAAGAGGAAATCATTTTGAATAAAAAACGCCATGTGATCCAGGGGGGTTGATTCAAATATTATAAATATCCATAGTTCCCCCCAAGAAATTTTTGTTCAAAAAATGTTTGATATACTTGCACCACATCTTAAAGGTCTTACGGAAGACCTTAATGATGAAATTAAATATCAAAAGTTTAAACACGGAATTAAAGAAGTTAAAGAATTTTTAGAAAAACTTGCTAATAGAGGAAAAGTTGATCCTTTAAGCAGTAATTTTGCCCAATATCTTGATGAAAATGATAAATTAAAATATTTAAGATATGAATTTTCCATTCCTAAATCTCGTGATGTTGTTACTGATAAAGTTGGTAAGTTATAAAATCTTTTAGAGAGAGATTCCCTCAATTGTTGAAATTAAAAGTTATAATCTTTTGTAAATAAAGAGGCGTTAAGTCCCGAAGAAGAGTGCATGTATTTTTGTGGTAATTCACTTGGATTAATGCCAAAGCGTGCAAGAGAATTGATTAGTCAAGAACTTGACGTATGGGCTTCATCGTATATATCACTATTTCATTAATTATAAAATATGTAAATTTCTTTTTTTAAATATTATTAATTTTTTTTTTTTTCAAATGTATTAAGAGGAGTTGTTGGTCATTTTAAACATAAACATAATCGACCGTGGGTATCCATTGAAGACACTGTTGTAGAAAAGATGGCAGATATAGTTGGTAAACTGATAAATTTTCATTTTTTCGAAAACTTTTTAAGATTAGTTAAACAAATCTTTTTTTTTTTTTTTTTTTCTAGGAGCAAAACCTATTGAGATTGCTGTTATGAATACTCTTACTTCGAATTTACATCTACTTATGGCATCATTTTATACACCAAATACAAAAAAGACTCGTAAAAAGATTTTGATAGAGCCAATGGCTTTCCCATCCGATCTTGTTAGTGTATATTTTAAATATAGTTCTATTTAAATTTAAACAAGATATCATTTATATTTAATCTATGTATTAATATTTATAGTATGCAATAGAATCTCAAATTAAATTCCATGGATTAGATCCCGCTAAAGAATTGATCAAGGTGACACCACCTGAAGGAGAAAGTATTGTACCACTTAATTCCATTCTTGAGATCATTGAGAAAGAAGGTCACACCATTTCTTTGGTATTGTTTAGTGGAGTTCATTATTATACTGGACAATTCTTTAAAATGAAAAAGATTACTCAAGCTGCTCAAAAAAAGGTATCAATATGCTTTTGGAAAATTTATTATATATCTTTCTTTTTATTTTTTTTTTATAAAATAATTATTTTTTAATACGTACTTTGTAGGGATGTATTGTGGGATTTGATTTATCTCATGCTGTTGGTAATGTTGTTCTCAAACTTCATAAATGGGGAATTGATTTTGCAGCATGGTGTTCTTATAAATATTTGAATTCTGGACCTGGAGGTATCGCTGGTATCTTTCTCCACGAAAAACATGCCAACGATTTCAATCGTCCGAGGTATGTATATCTTGACTTATATGAAAACATTTTAAACAAAAAAAATTCGAAATTTTTCATTAATAAAGGTATGTAACATCATAGGTTGGCAGGATGGTGGGGTTCGGAACGGAAATCAAGATTTAAAATGGATCAACGTGAGTAAAAGTTGAATTCAGTTTGTTTATTAAACAATTCAAAAGAATTAATTTTAAATTTATTTTTATTTTACCTCTCGAAAAGAATTCAAGCCAATTCCTGGAGCAAGTGGATTTCAAGTATCTAATCCATCAGTATTGAACGTAGTATCATTATTGGCAAGTTTGGAATTATTTTCAAGAACGAGTATGGTCAATCTACGTGCTAAATCTATATTACTTACAGGATATTTAGAATATTTATTAGATAAACAGTTAAATGGATTAGGATTTAAAATTATTACACCACGTGATCCACATCAAAGAGGATGTCAACTTTCATTAAAATTTTTTGAGCGCAGTGTACAAGAGAAAGTTCATAAAGAATTAATGAGTTACGGAGCAGTTGTCGATGAACGAAGTCCTGATATCATTAGAATTGCCCCAAATCCTATGTATAACAATTTTTCAGAAGTATTTCGTTTCGTTAGAGCCCTTAAAGTTGTTATAGGTGATATAGGGGTAAAAGATTAAGCATCGTCACGGGATTATTTATTTAAATACCTACTTATCTATTTTTAGTAACCCATTTTTGAGATCAATTAGTCCAATAAAAATAACACACGATATATATAAATACAATAAATAAATTTTTTTTTTTTTTTACATTAATCACCTTCCCTCTTTCTTTCTTTTTTTTTGCGAATTTAACGAAAGCAGAATACTTTGACAATTAAATGACATTGTAATAATTTCTGCCTTTACTCAATACAACAACAACAACAACAACAACAAAAAATGACAGTAGTTAAAGTTATTTTTAGCGTTACAGGAATCTATGCGTGTTTTTTAACCTGGGGAGTATTACAAGAAAGAGTATCGACAACATCATATGGAGAATCACGGTCAGATAGATTTAAATACTTCGTTTTCTTGAATATGATACAGTCATTTATGGCATCAATAGTAGCATTTTTATATTTATTAATCACAAGAAAATCCATCCTTGATAATGTTAATTCCAAGTTATTCATAAAATTAATTCAAGTAGCATTTTTCGGTACGATTGGATCACCTTTTGGATATGAAAGTTTAAAACACATAGATTATCCAACCATGATCTTGGGGAAATCGTGTAAATTAGTACCAGTCATGTTGATGAGCAAAATTTTAAATAGAAAAACATTTCCTCCACATCAATATGTAGTGGTTTTTTTAATAACGGTTGGAGTGAGTTCTTTCATGTTATTACAACCGATTAGTGAAAAAAAGAAAACAATGTCCTCGAATTCATTTTATGGTATATTATTATTAACGACGAATTTGTTAATTGATGGTATAACAAATTCTAAGCAAGATCAAATTTTTGAAAAATTTAAAATCACGGGACAACAAATGATGTTTTTTATGAATTTATTTTGTGGGTTGTTAATGTTCATTTACTTATTATTACCTATTAATCATGAACTTAATAATGCGATAGAATTTTGCATGAAATATCCAAAAGTGTTGGAAGATATTTTGTTTTTTTCTTTGTGTGGAGCATTAGGGCAGTGCTTTATCTTCTTTACATTGATGAATTTCGGTTCATTATTCTTAGTTACTATCAATGTTACTCGAAAATTATTCACTATATTATTATCAATATTTTGGTTTGAACATCAATTAAACGTTGAACAATGGTTTGCCGTCTTACTTGTTTTTTCAGGTATTGGATTAGAAGCTTATAATAAACTATCAGTTAGTAGTAAGAAACAATTAGATGAGATTAATAAGAAAAAACTGGCTGGAAAAACTTTATAATTTTATTTGAACTTAAGAAGGATTTAATAAATTTTAGAATAATTATACTTTGCTTTAGAATAATAATCAAGATTTATATTAAATTATAATAATTACATTAACGTTAATATTAAATAATTTAAAATTTTTATTTTATAAAGAATAAATTTGTTCTAAAAAAGAATCCAAATTAATAGTTAAACTTTTTATTTATATTACGATTATAAAAAATGATTTAATTTAAAATTTAATTTTATATAAATGATTCGAACTTTTTTATTGATTTAAATTTATTAATTATTATTAATTAAGTATGATAACAAAATTTAAAAAATACATTTAATAATTTTTTGTTTTTTAAAATATTAGAATATTACTAGTAAAACAAGTTAATAAAATATATAAACTAGTAATATTTTAAATAGTTATTGTATTTTTTGTATTTTCCAATATTAAACACCCTCCGAAAATAAGCATCCTTTATTTTACATAATATCAGTCATAAACCAAAAATAAGCATCCCTTCAAACAAATTAATTTTATTATCAAACCAAAATATTACATTATTATAGAAAATATTATATTTACAATAAAAGAATTTAACTATTATTCAAACAATAATTTCTATTTCATTTTCTATATTCTCCACATTTCTATTTATTTTATTTTGAATTTCATCAAAAATTTCATCAATTTCTTTGTAAATTTCATCATCTTTTGTTTCATTTAAAGCATTTGATATATTACACTTTTTAAAGGAATGAATAACATTTCTTTAGAAACATTTTTCTAAGGATGTTAACTTATTCACATACTTCACTTATCTTATATATCAAAGATTTTCTGCTTTAGTATATCTATTATTACTATTAGTCATTTAAAAATGTCACATTACGAAGATTATCTTTAAAAGATTTGTTAATTGTAATATCAAGTAGTTGATAAACATTTGTCAAACCACCTGGGATTACTGTTAAATCAACTTTTATTAAATTTTTATTTAACTGATTCTTCTAAATATTCTTAAAAAACTTATATACTATTATGATTAGAGATTTAAATTAACTTCTTGATATTCTTATATTATTAATATATCATAATAAAACTGGACAAAGTGAATATTAGTATTATCAGAATTTTAAGAATCAAATTTATAATATAATTATTAAATTTTCCATTTGTTTGTTATCTTAATATTCAGTGATATATAAATTACTCCTATATAAAAATAGTTAATATAAAGCTAATTTATATCAGATTTATTATAAAATCCAAGAATTATAGCACTATTAGAAGTATTTTGAAGAAGAAACAATATACAAGTTTATTTTATTTAGGAATTAATTTTTATTACTATATTTGATAATTAAGAAATTTACTAGTAAATTTACTTATTTGAAAAATAAGATTTTGAAGAATTATAATTATTAGTATGATTTTTATCATTTAATATTTTATTATATATTTTGAAAATTTATATTATCATATTATAAAGAATTATTATATTATTTATTATTTTTAAGAATTGTTCTTTCAGATAGTCTCTAAATTTTATATAATATAAATATTGTATTTTATTTATTATAATATGTATTATTTTATAAATTATAATTTTAATATTTAAGAAATTTAAATTCAATAAAGATATGAATAACTTTATATTTTTATAATAATTAAAATATACGTTTATAGTTAACCTGTAATTTTACAATTATTAAATTACTTATTAATTAACATTATTTATTTGAATATTTACAACTTATAAACATTTATACTTATCTAAGAAAAATAAAAAATTACTTATAAATTTACTAAAAAAAAAAGAAAAATCATAAACATTAAGAAAAAAAGTAGTATAAAAGGTATTATTACCTAATAATAAGTTATTTAAAAGAGAAATAATAGAAACAAATTTATTATCACTTTTATCTATTTTTTAATAAGTAATTAGATTTTTAAAATCAAAATTTTATTGTTAAGATTATGCTTAAAATTTAATTTAGCAAGAACTTGACAATAATATTGCTGAATAAGAAAGAAATAAAATAAATATATAGAAAACCTTAACTAAGATTAAAAAATAAAAAAATTTTTGATTGAACTTTTAGAATAAAAATTATTAATTAAAAGTGTAGTAAAAGATAAAATAAAATATTAATTTAATACCTTTAATGTAAAATTATGTTAGACTAAAATATCACTATTTATAAAAATAGTCAAGAATATAAATATCCTAATATCATAATTATTATTAATAAATTGTAAAAAATAAATAAAATAAATATTTTACTTAAAAGATAATAATACTTCTAGTTATATTTGTCTGAAAAGTGTAAAAAAAAGTGAAATAATTTATCATCTTTATAATAAAATATAATTAAATAAAAAAGGAATGCTTAAATATCAAGTTTTTAAACTAAAAATAAGATATAACTGCTAAGGTAGTTTTAAGATAAAATTTTAAAAGTTATATAGTATTGTCAAATATTAAGTTAATACTTTTGAAGAAATAATTAAGCAAAAATAATCTAATATTTGTCTATACTTAAAGATATTATTAAAAAAATTAATGAAGTATATAATTTAATAAGTTACAAAATTAATATATTATATTACAAATTGATATTTAAAATTCATTTCATTTTATATATGAGTAGTTTTAAATATAAAGAAGATTATAAAAATATAAAAATTTAAAAATCAAAAGTATGTTGAAAAAAGTTTTTTCTTAGAATAGCTAAAGATTTAAAAAATTTTTCAATTAATAAATAATAATACTATTATTATAAAAAGAAATAATATTATTGTTAAATTATACATTGAAATAAGAAATATAATCATTTTTATTAAAAATTATTTGCTTAATAATATTAATAGTTTGAACTAAAAAACTTGAGATCAAATTGAAGAAGTCTATTAAGAACTTACAGTATATAAAAAATGAAATCTATATTATTTACTAGTAGTTTACTATTAAATATAAATTTAATAAAAAAGTCAAACAATTATAAAAAAAAGAAGCAGAAATTCTTTTAAGTTATAGTAAAACTTATCTCTTTTCTGAATTTTTTATATTTGATATTACTTTTTCTTAGATTTATATTGCAAAAATAATAAAGATAATTCAGATCTAAAAAAAATCAATTTCTAGAAACTATAAAAGATGAATAATTTGAAGAAAAATAAATGATTCTAAGTTTACTATCAAAAATAAAATAAAACTCTAAGAGTTTAATTAGAAATTAATTTAATAAAAACAAAAGAGAAAAAGCTTATTAAATAAATAATTGTGAAATACTTTATGTCTTTTAGTTATTTTAGTTATTAAAATAGTGAAGATTAAGAAATATAAAAGTTAATTATCCTATCTAATGCTTTTTTATTTAATATAAAAATTATTTAATTTCATTTATTACTTTAGATAAGTAATTTCTTTAAATTCATTCTTTACAAATAAACAAATATTATGATAAAGATATTCTTATCTTTTGTAATCTAAAGAAAAAGGTTTTTAAAACTAAAAATGATAAAGTTTCAATTTCTTCAAAATACAGTCAACTCTTTCTACAACGAATTTTGATATAACGAATTTTACAATACAACGGATTTTCATTGTTAGACAGAT